CCGCCGACCTATCTACTTGTTTGTACATTTCATTTGATCTAACCGAAGCGATAATTTATTCAAAGGTGGAGCGAGACAATTGAAGAGCCTTAACTTTAATACACCCAAATTCAACACATCAGTGAAATTGTACTCCACCAACAGTGTACGAGTCCCAAGAGATTTAAATCGTCCAGAAACCATCAAATATATAGTTTTTTTTGTTAAGGGGAATTAAAGTTAAGATACATTCAATTGTCATAAAGTACAGGAAGAGATCATCTAAAAATGAGTACCTATGAAATTCTGTCTTGTTTTTTTTTTCCATCATATATTAGGATATTAGTGTTTATTTATTCTTTAACCATGTCTTCTGTATGATTGAAATACCTGTGTTTTGCATGCATTTGACAGAAAAAATCTAGTATACCATTTATCATATTTGGATTTAGACTTGATTGTCAGTTTTTATGTTCTGTTTGTATATGTGTGTGCATCAATAAAAAGTTTGAAATGATTTTTGTATACCAGGATATTCTTTAAACCCGGAAAGAAATTGATAGAACTATGACATATAAATGTTTAAAGGTAATTATCAAATCAGCATGTGGAAATTTTATGAGGTAGATGATTAAATATTGTTCTATAGAAGAATGTACGTTTCAAACATGAAAATACGACACTTAGTATGTTAGTACTATTAAAAGGACAAATTAAAGTTGAAGTGTTAATAATTGTATATCATAATCAAAATATATAGAAAAGAATTGATATGTTCAGGCAACTTTTGTAATAGTGAAATATAATTTCATATTTTCTATTTATTTTTTAATGTTTATTTTTTATACAGAAATCTTCTATTCTTACTACTGTTGGAACACTGGATCCTCCACTAGGCTACACAAGATTAGAAGTTGCACACTTGATAACTGCACTGCTTACAACTAACTCAGATTCTGTCAGATCACAGTTAGCCACTTTGGGTACTGTGGATGTTCTGTTAGTAAGTGAACTTGTGTTGTCTGAAGTAAAATGTAAAAAAGAGACTTAATTCCAGTGTTATAATGATAATTCATAAGAATAGCCTGAATTTGTCATTAAATTCTTGAACTTACTGGTGTTTTGTTGTATGATTCATGGTTAAAAGTGTGAATATGTTGTTTTGGACTGTAATACTTTTTTCTAGTGATTGAAACTACTAAATTTCGTGTATAAAACATTTAAAAGGCATTAAAACATCACATACCATTAAAATGAACCTTTTTCATGACAGTTACGAAATGTTTCCAAGAGGACATGACCTCAGATCTATCCCCCACCCCCACCCTCCAAAAGTAGCAATTCCCTATATAGACAGAGATGAAAGTCTTCCGGATATATCCGGAAATCCGGATATTTCTAAAAAATCCTGAAAACCTCCGGTTTTTTTCCGGAGAAACACATTTTTTAAAATTATTTATCGGATTTTGGTGTTCCATGCCTACCTACCAAGTCCAAAAGAATGTGAACGAGATTTTATCTCAAACGTGCTTTAGAAAACGCGGTCATTCATCAAACAAGTTGAAGATATCTGGATATATAATATTGAACTTTTCAAACAATAATAATAACATATTTATATTCTAAGACAAAAGGAAGTATTTTTATTTATTGTTTTCAAAACTGTTTCTCCTAACAAATTAGAAATTTCATAACCTAAAAAATGATAGAAATACTAAATCAAATTATTATTATTTTTTAAGCACAAACTAGATACTATTTAGAAAGTTTGTTCTGAGTTTCAAGTAACTCGGTTTATTGATTCTATTGTTAGAAGAAACAAATGAGGGGGATATCAGTCTAGAAAGCAAACATCACATTAAAAATACTCCCTTCATACTTTATTTTGCCAAAGCAGTCACCACTTCTAGTTAAAATTAGACAAAAACATGGCAAAAACTGACAAAGATTTATCAGTGACTTAAGACCTTACTTTTCAAAATGGTGTCACCTTAACCATTGTGAGGCATTGTATCGTAATTTTTGCCTACAACATTTTTGGCTGAGATCAAACTTAGAGCATTGTTTTTATTTTTTTGGGTGATATACATTACATAATGTCAAATAATCTCAAAATATTTTTGAATAAAAATTGGTGAAATATTTTTTTATGTTACCCGATATAACAGTGGCTTTTTGCACCCACAAATCGACAGTTTTAGGTAACAAATATGTTTGTAAAAGACTGCACAGTACAAAAATGCACACATTTTTGCTGTTTTCAACAAATTTAAAATTGCCCTGTTTTTTTTAAACAGATATATCATTACTTATTATAATAAAATAGTCATATATTCCAAAATTCATAACACATAGACCTAATGTTATAGGTTTATTACATCCACAAAATTGTAACCATGCAAATGTCATGTGGAAATATATCAAAACCTTAGTACAAAACAAAATTTCAGTGTTCCTGTTGATTTGGTTTGATGATTATCAATATTAATACGTATAATGTCACAAGAACAATTTAACCAATAACTCTTACAGTATTTGGTAAAACTCCATAAGTCATGAATGTGAATGTGCCTATAATTACTTTGTAGTATATTATTACCAAGTACTAACTAAGAAATCAGTATATTTGAAATTTCATCTTCGATTCTCTAATTGATTAAGGTTCTATAAGAATTTAACCTTTGGCATATTCAAATTAAATAATTGAAGCCTTCCACCAGATCCTAGGGGGAAAAAAAATGGCTAAATGTAGGGAAGTTGGGTTGAAAATATTAGGAAATTGGCTAAAAAATAAGGCACATGAAGAGTACATTATTTAGAAAAGACAACAAAACGAGAAACACTTACCTGTGTGCAAAAGTTCTTGTAATAAATAATGTTATGTTTTCACATTGCAACTCATTCCTTTTCCCACAGGGGCACAAAAGAAAAAGTACTAGTTTTGTTCACATATGGGTCATTACTTGATACTCTTATAAAAAGCCTCAAATGAATGGGAACATTTTCCTTTAGGAAATGCATGATTTTTTCCAATACTTGCTTTCCTTTAGATGGCCACAAGGTAAATTGGTTTTGTGTTTCTAACCAATATCTAATAAACACATCCAATTGCTTCATATCTTGATCATTAGTATTTTAATCATAAAATATGTTGCACCCTGAATTACTGTTCTTTAGGACATCCACCAGCTTCTTTAGAAGGTGGAATTCTTTGCTGACTACCAATCCAAAACTGATGATGATGGAGCACTTGAGAGAAACACTGATCAACATCATCACATGAAAAGTCTTTGCTTATAATATTTATTGCCCCCATGCTTATACTTCTCTCTCATTTGTTTTTAAAGCTACACTTGGAAAGGAATAATAAGTCATGGGTCTGGGATGTAGAGCCCAAGCAGTAGCTCCTGATGGTTTATGATTGTAATATTCCTTTTTTGCTGTTGTTAATGCTGTTGCCTAGTTGGTTAACATATGCCAAAGTAAATCTTAACCTTCTTTACATATGTGAACCTTTCACTGTGCTGTTTTACTAGAAAAGTCCAGGGATATGAACTGAAAACATTATGTAGCAAAGCATGCAAAGGACATCCAAGTTCTTCATTCTTTACACCACACACAAATATGGTATGATGTTCATTTATGTCCTATTTGTCCAACAAAGTTTTTAAATGTACACTACCTGTGTACACCTTAACACTCCCAATATGGGCTCAGTCAATTTGACCAGCCACATGATCTTTTTGTACTTGTTTAAAGTTATTACAGATTTAATACTTATAACTCTCAATATAGTGGGTATATCTTCACGAAATTTGGCAGTCTTTCATTTAATATTACAAGTCTTTCACATACAAAAAGTCATATTTCTTAATGAAGTATTTTTAATAAAAAATAAAAATAAAGATTTGTCCATGAATATATTGAGTATTTGTTTTCAATAGTCCGTGTGCAAAGTAATTTTCTAGTTAAAATTAAAAATATTTTTACTCACCTCAAAAATCTCAAATTTCCTTTGTGTAATCCCTAAAACCTCTAAAATGCATTTTCTCTACCCTATCTCAAAATGGGATCGGTCAAATCGACCGATCTTGTAACCACCAAAAAAAATAATTAAATAAACCAAAATTAACTTTTTTTTCTTTCCATATTGACTTCAAATTGTAACATGAAACATTTGTTTATCCTAAGTAGCTCTAAGTTTGTAACATTATACATCTATTTATAATTAAACTTTATTGTTTTATTGCCCTTTGAACTGTGTCTAACTACTATATGCGCCATCGTAAGTTGTAAATCACTCGGGGAATGTGAAGCTCATGTTATGCCATCGAATCTCATTACTCACGAGCTGCTCCAGTGCATGATTCTTGAACAATTTTAATTATATTATTATTATTACTTATTTTACCTAATCTAGTCTTAAATAACTTAAAAAGATCCACATTTTTAGACTTTAGTAGTTACTTTTACAATAATAAATAATGAATAAATATGAAAAACAAGAAATAAAATACTTACCCAGGTCTTTTTTTTTGGCTGTTGATTGTTAATGACACTTAACCCTACTTTTTTATATACTAATGCCAGTAATGCACTACATAATTTTTATTTAATTAAGTGATGCACCAAAGAACTAAGAATAATAACATGGAACAACAGACAATTTCCCCTATCACAAATTTTCTGGCTTTCTAACTATGCAAAAAGAGCTATTACAAATTCATCCAAGCTAGTTATTATCTTTCCCTTGGGAACAAAGCTTGTACTAACAAAGAAAATGCACAATTCTCTGGTCAGAAAACAACGTAATATAATACATAATTTCATGGATGAAAACCTTTGCTTTCTATTTGTTATATATAATATAGTATTAAGAGTAAGAGAGAACTATTAACAAATCTTGAAAAGAGAGGATGTGACAGGTGGGTGTGGCAAGAGGGGGTCTGATTTTCTATTTGATGGTTCTGTAACCAAACAAGATTGAAGGCTATAAAAATTATGGTTTGTCTGAGCAATGACGATTTTATAGTGAGTAATTTGTTAAATTGAAAAGGTGGTGAATAAAATAGAGAAGAGGGGATGCCTAGAGAAAATATGTCACATTTCTCACACCAGGAGAAATTAAAGATTTTTTTAAATATTGCTTTATAAAATTAAGAACTTAAAACTTTTATACTATTAAAATATGGATTATTAGCTAGCTATAATTTTATGCTATACTAACTGGTATAACATAAAAAAAGTAGTTTAATTGAATTTTGAACATAAGTTACTATAATCTCATGATATGCATAGCAAAGGATGCCTGTGGCAATAGGGTTAAAACAGCACAAAATTATCCCAGTTTTATGAAAAGTGCAAAAAGCTATAGAAACAGTTAAAATGTATGACATGATATTCAGTACTTTTTTATGTCATAGATATAAAGTCTTATTAGTTTAGTCAAACTTTCTGACTAGGGTTAAAATACATGTATCAAATTTGTAATCAATCTTCAAGTGACATTCAAAACCATGTCAGACACAAAAACATGTTGTTGTTTTTTTCATAAAAATTGTTTCAAATAAACAACCATACGTTTAAGCAGTTTCATAACTGAAATTGAATTCAGGTTGCCAAATCTCTTTTTCCATACCCCTACTCAGTTTTTATTCACTTGGACAACACAAGTTTACCCTTTCATTAGAAACTTAGTTTCAAGTAATAGTTTTCATTTATCATTTGGACATCAAATGAACTCTTATGCTATGATAAGCCAGCATATACTTCCTTCATGTGCTGCCAGCATGTTCCAACTTTATAACTGCAGTTCTGGAATTTAAGCTTAAAACCAACTGATATTCTAACAAATACAGTAAGCCTTGAGAAGAAAAATATATTTGGTATTGAAGGGTAATAATTACTCATAGTTTGAAAAAGTCACACACATTGCAATATGAATAACATCATCAACAAAGTAAGTTTTTAAAAAATATTTGATGAAAACATGGGATAATTATAGGGATTATAGGACAACACAAAGATGATGGGAGGACTCATAAAGTTTACAAGCATGCTTACTACATGATATCATATTCAGCAAGACTACACAGATGAGCATAATTATACTAAAATTGTGAACTTTACTAAAATTATTTTCCACAGGAAGCCATATTTAAGAAACTGCTAAAAGAGCAGCTAATGACATTTTACAGCTGTAAATAAATTAAGCAACACTTGAGCATATATACAATATTAAACAGTTTCACAATAAATAAAATTTATTAAAAACAGAGCACAGCTCTAAAAAGAGATTACATGATGGTGGCATACTGGACATACACCAAGCCATTCAGTCACTCATATATACACACACACACATGTAATGCACTGAATATAAAATTTCCCACAAAGTTTATAAACCATTGATAAATAAGACTTCTCAAGCCATTCTTAGTGCTGTTTTTGTACTGTTTACAAATAACTATGTGTATATAAGCACAGCTGTGTGCACTACCTCTTCAATGAAGCGCCACTATCTCTACTGCTACAGCAAGAAAAATACAACCGCTATCTTCTGCTACTTTTGAGATAAACATTTTTCATGATAATTTATTTTTGTCAATGGATAACGGAAGAAGGAAATATACAAATTTATTGGTAAGTGGTAATACTTTATTGCTACAACAACATAATACAGACTTCTCAGAAAAACTGATTCATATTTGTGAATG